GGGCGCGCCTCGGTCCCCTTGGCAGGTTTGATTTCAGAGGGCAGCAAAACAATGGGCTCGGATGTCTTCTGGGTATTTATAGATTAAACCTGAGCAGCGGAAAGGTCACGGGGGGCCCAGGCGTTGCCTCCCTTGATGTATATATTATTTACCATCGTTTACAGCGGTGGCTTTCGCCGGCCCTTCCCTCTGCCACCCCGGTGGCGCAGGGACAGACCGAAGCAGAGCCGAGCGCGTTTCTTTGCTCGTCGGAAGTTTAAGACGGAGTTTTTTGTGGGGGCACGTCTCCCCACGGACACGTTTCCCTCCCCCCCCCGAAAGACGGCTGCTCCCTTAGGCGGTCTGGTTCGCCGCACGGAGAGACGCTCCACAGGCGCTTCAGAGGCAGAGCTAGACGGTGCGGCTAAAAATTTGTAATTTCTCGGCGTTGGGACGGTCCCGTTCCTCGCAAAGAAACACGCTAGAGAGTTTGTAAACGAATTTCGCCAATGCATTTTTCATATCACACATCTCATCGCTATTTTTGATTGCATATATTAAAAATGCACACATCAGTTAAAAAAACCCAACAAACAAACAAAACTAAAACCAACCAAAACCACAAACATTTTCGAGCGTTTTATTTTTGTCAATCTGCGAAGACATTGCATTGCAAATTGTTTTTCGTTCCGTATGTTTTTCTAAAGCTACGTTAACCAACTACCGCAAAGCTTTGCAACGAGAGAAAAAGCCACGGCACACATTTTGAGACCTACAACGTGTTTATTACAGCTGCTTATCCATAAGATTAAGATCCGATAGCTTGACAAAGCCTTCCGTGGCTGGCAAGAGTAAAACCTCCATCTCTTTTACCGTGGTGTGTTGTTTCCCTGCCTATCCTGGGAGGTTGTAGGAATATCCATCCTAATCCCGCTCCGCCGCAGGATACCGGCTCCTCCTTGCCTCCGGGCAAACCCCCTCCACCGCCGGGGTGCGGGAGCCACGCAGCCTGCTGACCCTCTAGAGGGGCAAACAAATTTTAAGAATGGGAAAAATGTGATCGATAATATGTGGGGGGTTGGGGGTTGTTTTTGTTGTTTTGTTGTTGTTTGTTCAGTGGGATTTTTGTTTGTTTGTTTGTTTGTTTTTTAATGCCACTGCTTCTGAATGCTCATATTGATGAAGTCCCACTTTTTGAGCCGTGGCTGTTAAACCCGTAAGTAGGGAGTGACTTAATTTGCTTCCAGACGTAGTTTCTCACTTCAGCTTTTGTTTGAGTGCGCAGTGGATGGGGCTAAGATTTCAAGAGCTGGCAGAGAACTTTTTCTCATCTCCTTCCTGAGGTAGGGTGAATTGGTGTACACCATCCTTTGCGCGGTCCCTAAGGCTCGCTGATGAGCAATGCTCTGTAACAACGAGGTGTAAGACAGAGAGAATCAGCTTTGCCTTTGGCAGAAGTGCTTGGGACTGGGATTTATTGATGCGATGTCTTTCTAACAAATGTGTGTGTGACTGGGATCATATGAATTCATTCCACCTGTTGGATCATCAGTTTGCCTCCTGAAGAGGGGATACCGAGCTCAGATCCATTGCTCCCTTGTGTAAATGATGGAAGGAAATGGG